AAAGCCCACGAGTTTTTAAAATTGTTCTTGTTTATTTTTTAACTGTCGCACTCACTTTTTTTGCCAAATGACAGCGTGCGAAAAAACTTTTGGTAGAAATTTATTTATTGTCTGTGTCTTTTTGTATTCCACCTGCTCTTCGTCCTGCGCGTTGTCCACCCGTAAAACCTCCTCTACAAGCATTCAACGTATGACACGGTCCACGTGATAGCTCGGGTTAGTTGGGGTCCTACGCCCTACCGTTGCAGAAATTCTAATGACCAAAAGTGCCTGGAGACAGAAAGAACTCACCCCTTATGTCCCCAGGAGTGTTCTAATGTATACAAACGAATTATGATGTGGGCAAAACACTGACGTTGCCCACCGTGTACTCCACGGCTGAGTGAGAGCAGGGACAATGATTTACGTAGCATCTACCTTACTCTCTCCTCTTCCCATACCTGGATCCAGTGTCAAGACAGAATCAAGAAAACCGGAGGCGGGTGAGGCGACAGGCGGCTGGCATGAAGTAAACCTGCACCTAGGTGCAATACCAATTCCCCTAGTCAACAATAAACATGCATAAAAATATTCATTCTTTTGCTCATTTGGTAGACAATTACGTCTTCTTCCAATCTTATACTTCAAGGATGGACATAATTGGGTTTTCAAAAACTTTTCCAATTCCCAAATAATTTTAAACCCGACCTGCCGTCACACTTGGATTCAGGGTTTCCAATCTACAAGCCGTATATTTTCCGCGTACAGAAAACCACGCATTTCTCTACGGTACTAAAGGGCGACCATATAGGGTTCATAAAATTTAGCAGTGGATTTGATCCATATTGTTAACTTTACAAGCCACATTGGTAAACGCAGAGACATGACGCTTAATGAACGGCCATTTCATGGTATTTTAAAGTCTCACAATGAAAAACTTTTTCAAAACCGAACAGTGTCTATCCTTCGAGTATAAAATTAAAGGAAAACCTAATTTTCTACGGAATGAGCAAAAAAGTGAATATTTTTATGCATGTTTTCCATGAAATATAATTGGACTTTTAGGGGCATCGAAAATCAATGGGAAAAAAATCATGCTACATAAGTAGTCATTTTTTACAAAGTGTTGTTTTTGCATGCAGACGGAAGGAAGTTCATTCGAAAGCCGGAATCCTGAGGTAACTGAAATATTATAGCATTATTTTGTAGGGTGACTAGTTTTACAACCCTACTTTATGTCTTCGAAACGGAAACGCATTTCGGAATTTCGGTTGACATTTCATGAGTTAGCCTACCTACTGCAGGTGTACCACCGAATCCCCTGGTCAACAATAAACACTTGACCAGGATTTTAAACAACAACAGGTATGGGGAGCGACACGGATCTAAACTGGACGTGTCCCGACACCCCAATGTTGACATTATTTATGGGTGCACATTCCCGATAACGCCTGCCGGACTCCGATCTAGCCGTCTGTGTTGGTCCAGCTCATCGACCGCGTGGCCCCTTTGAGAGGCTAAGGCAGAACTCAGAGTACTGGTCTGGGCGTTTACTTTGCGAAGGCTGAGTAGAATTCTTAAAAAAAGAGAGCAATCACCTTTGACTGGTCAGTGACTACGAGATGCTGAATGTCAGTCATATACGTTAGGCATAGCATAGGCATGAACTCACGTAATGTGCGGTGCCGTGGTAGTCTGGTTAATGTCCAACCGTAGGATTGTCAACGAAATCGACGCACGTAGCATAGCAGTGACGAAAGTACTTGCCAGTGCAATCACCTGAATGCAACTGACTCCATTATTGCGCTTCCTGTGCATTAGGAAAGGACTTCATTGCACTGCCTGCGACTACGTTCGCCCCGAGTATGACGCTGGCGCGAAAAACTTGCGTCACCTCGTTCAGTCCGACCCAGCCTCTTGTCGTTCCAGCCCAATCAAGGCAATTTGCTGGACACTTACTGGAGTTAAAATGCATCGGACCGATGGGATGAAATAAGTGGCGAGACGGCAAATCATGACGATTGACGATACCCAACGACATATCACCCGTCATAAGCGATCATGCCTGCCTTCCTGGATCATGCTCATAACTTAGCGCATATCTGTAGTGATGGGTAGTCTGGGCGAGTATTTGCATTGTGGGCTTCTTCCAGTAGGACAGAAATAAAAATTAGATTGGAATACGCATAGCGTTGTTTGTGTATGTCCTAGATGAACGGCGTATAGGTGTGTCGCATCTAAAGGCATGCTTTGGTAAATGATGGTTCGCTGGACGTGACATTTTTGAGTAGTGCGTCCCGATCCAGTTTTCAGGACTGTAGGAGAATAATTAAACGTTGCTCCCCTCCTTTCCCATGTAAATTTACGGACGCTTCAACTCCCTTAACATAATCGAATGTCTTGCCCCCAGACAAGAATGCAGTGAGACGAACATTACTTAGGCGTTGTACGCAGTGTCTTAGGTCAGGCGACTAGACCCTCAGAATCATTTCGAGGATTGGCTGTGTTAGTTTTTCCATCGCGAACAACAGCCTAAATTGCGTGTCTCACGGATTGAGCACAAGACCAGCGATTTGCATGTGTAATGTTGCGGGCTTGCGTAGAGTCTACCACACCCTCTCCTTACCTTACCCGCCTTGTCCAGACCACTGCAGGTTATATCGACCACAGTGACCAGCCAAGGCAAACAGCCCGTTTACACGACTCGAGCACGACCTGGTCAACCAACATGCACCAAACTTACATAAGGCCTCCAAGCCAAGACCCTTAGCGCGCTGTGATAGATTCAGGCGCCACACATTTGCAATAATGAGCTGTGCTGAGTTATCTCCTCTCTTGCTTAGTCATGTCCTACAGCATGGCTTTTGAGAACATCCGGTGCACGGGAACTCGTGGTACGTAAATGAGGAAGAAACTTGTGAAAGGACTTCGACAGCAGTAATCCGACAGAAGTATTGCTTGGTTTCGCGCAAGAGGATAGGACTTTATTGCATTTTCCTGAACTGCTTTTTGTCGCCAATTAAAGGCGTAAGGCACTTGTTTTGTCTCAAGCAGGGTTTCTTCCAAACATATTAATTTCTAGACCTCTGCACAGGGAGGTGCTGCATCTAGCGCTTTGAACATACAACCGCTTCTGCCCCTGTTGAGAGCGCGCTCGGAATTGGTGCATCTCTTTGAGGACCTCTGTCAACGTCGCCCCACGGATCTTCTGCCGATTCTTCCCGAGCTCGTAGAGGTGCTGCTAGTCTGTGTGGATCGCACTCGGTTGAAGGAACGTGGACTGGATGTCACTTTCCCTGCCCTGCAGAGATTCCGCAACGTGGATAGTCATACTAGGGCTCAAAAGATCTGTGTCGGGGGCACCAACGGATCCCTCACTTTCTTCGACTTCAAAACCGGCCGTTACTTCTCTACACAGGCACATGAAGCTTCGGTCACCGCGGTCAAGTTCAGCTCCGACGGCCGCCAAATGGCCTCCTACTCTCTCAACAAGAACAAACTACGTGTCTGGCAGATATCGTCATGCCCACCTCCGTCGAGGCTTTTAAGCGCAAGTTGGACCAGTGTACCACTTTCCGTACCTGGGCAGCACGCTCTCCCGCAACACCAAGATCGACGACGAAGTCGCCAACAGGATCTCGAAAGCCAGTCAAGCCT